ACCAAAAAAAAAAAAAAAAAAAAAAAAAAAAGAGTTTATTTTGTATAGGGTACACTGTTTAGTCAAAAGTCAATTACTTACTTACAAAAGTTTTTTGACCTGAAATACCTTGATCTTAACTAATTTGAAAAGAAAATGGATAAGTATTGTACAAAGATTAACAGCTCACCAAATCTGTAATTATTGGTTGAATGTGGACTTTATTACAACATGCTGTCTCCAGGGTACAAGCTGCTGCCTCAGGGTTGATATCAGTGCACCTATAAACAGAAAAGGAAGAAAACTATATCATTAAGTCCAAAAGGCAAATCTGTTACTGAATAATTCAAAGAATGTTCCATTAATTCTACAGAGTACAGATTTAGGAAAAAAAGTTACAAAGCTTCAATAATGGCAAAGAAAAAGAGAACAAACTTGTTATATTGATAAAAGAGAGTCTTATATTGATACAACATTCAAGGAATAAACATACATATACAAACATCTAAAGGAATTTGTGAAATTATAATACAGTCAATGAAGAAATACTATGCAACCACCAAAAAGAAAATTTTGAGAGGACAATGCTAATGAGACAATATTAAAAACAAAGGCAATAAAAAAACTGAAGGAAATGTACTTGAACCTTATGGTAAAATTTAATTAAGTAATTAATTAAGATCGGGAAATATAATTTATTTAGAAAGTAAATGAGAGAGAGAGAGGAGATCCACCTCCCCAGGGTAGGGGAGGGGCCCAAAGCTTAGGAAAACATGGTGGCTATAGCCCAAAGAGCCACATGACCTGACCAAAGTTTAGCAGCAATGGCCAAAATTTATTATTTTAATTTTTTCTTTATACTTTTCTATGGTCTCCAATTTTCTATAAATAAATTTTAGTAACTTTAAATTTTTTCTGAATCAATTATTTACCAAAAAAAGAATAAAATTTGGAAATGATCTAAAATGATGCTATTTCTATAATTGTGCAGTATAATGGAGCAGTTTTGAACATGAAGTTATAAGTTTTTTTTTTTGAGTCAGGGTCTCTCTTTTGTCCAGGCTAGAGTACACTGGCACAGTTATGGATTACCACGCCTTGACCTTCTGGGTTCAGGTAATCCTTCTGCCTTGGCTTCCCAAGTAGCTGGGACTATAGGCATATGCCACCATGCTCGGCTAATTTTTGGATTTTTTATAGAGCAAGGTCTTGCTTTGTTGCCTAGACTGGTTTCGAACTCCTGGCCTCAAGTAATCCTCCCACCTTAGCCTTCCAAAGTGCTGAGATTACAGGCATGAGTCACTGTGCTTAGCTGAAGTTGTAATTTTTAGGGAAGCATAATTTGCAATTTGTGTCTTCACTGTACTTATTTAAACACTATCAGCTACATATTGCCTACTCAACAAAAATTGTTTCATTCAAGCAATAGTAGTGAATTTCTTAGTAGAAGATCTGGATGAATATGATATACTTACAAGTACAAAGCTTGAGGACCAATCGCAGAAGCTAGGAAAGCCGATACTACACCAGACCCTGACCCTACTTCAAGACATATTTCCACTCTAGAAAAAAAAACAACAAAATAAAATATTAGTACACAGGAAGCTCTCATGCTAGTTATAATGTATATTTCTCCAGCATCAGTACTCACCTGCAAACATATGGAAATATAAAAGAAATTTATAATTTCTGACAACCACTTTGTGCTTAATATTGTATAACTCAAAATTGCTAATATTTTGGGTGTGTAATATATTTTAAGTCCATAACATAGTTATATATTACCACAGGTGGCTTTCAATGAATTTCAATACATTACATTAAAAAGTATACATTACATTAAAAAGTATAGAATGTCAAAGTTTGAAATATGTATTAATATGAAAGACATCATCATTTTCAACAAGGAGTTTCTAGCTGAGTACTTCCTAAAATGACAGGATTTGTATTATTACAAAATTTATTTAAAAAAGAAGTTCCTCTATCATTTTTATGTACCTAATGTTCATAAAGATCCTCTGGTAATAGATTTAGAGCAGCAAAGGCATTTCTTATTTGTTCAGCTATATGCTAATTGAGAAAATATCTAAATATCTTGGAATGTTAATTATGTTTTAATTTTTAAGATGGAGTTGTGTTGTGTTACCCAAGCTGGAGTGCAGTGGCATGTTTTACAAATTTGATCTCTTGGGTTCAAGTGATCCTCCTGCCTCAGCCTCTCAAGTAGCTGGGACTGCAAGCACACCACCATGCTTGGCTAAATATTGTATTTTTGTGTGTGTGTGGAGATAGTGTCTTACTATGTTGCCCAGGCTGGTCTTGAACTCCTGGGCTCAAGAGATCCTCCCACGTTGGCTACCCAAAGTGCTGGGTTTACAGGCATGTCCATTGCGCCAGGTCAGAATGTTAACAATCTTAGAATGCTGTTAAATATAATAAAATCTTCACTCTATTTTATTTTTGTCTTTCAATTAAATTTATTTCCTTGTCTGTAATCCTACACATGCATCAAAAGCACCAATCATCCTCCATTACAAAGATGAGTTTGATGACATTTAGGGAACTAGCACTTACCTCCCCAAACAACTACCAAGCAACACACTTTTAGCATTTTTAACTTTTGGAATCAGGCTACTCATCTGACAAGTCTTTATTAGGTGGTAGTAAGGTCTGTGAATCTTACCAGGTGGCTTCTCTTTGAAAATAACTATCATGGTCTCATAAATAATTAGAATTCCAAGACTAGAAATATCCAAGACTTTATAACAAAATCAGCTCCTTTTACAGCATACTTTGCAATGCAATTTGTGCTTGTAAATCTTTCTGGGCTATCTTGAGAAGAAAAGACAAGTTATAAAATAGCACTGTTCCACTCTACATTCCAGTAAATCCAAAAGTTCCATCGTCTACAATGAAAAACTAGTTTAAAAATAAAGGGTGGGGTCTTTATATGTGGAAAAATATGACCAAGTTCAAGAGGAATAAACAATATAGATCTTTGAAACCTAACAGCTGACCTGAGAAAACCCAACACAACTCTTGATCCTTAAATAAATCTAACAACTCAAGTTTCTTTCATTAAAAAATTACAAAGTAGGCATTCATTGTTTTTGTTATTAAAGTCTATGCTGAGCACTTCAACAAATCAATTTTAATAATCACATGGTAGCAGGGTATATTCCATAGGCTGCTCGCTGCATATAACTTTTTTTTTTTAAACTGAATGAAAAATTCAGTTCCTCAGTCGCACTAGCCACATTTCAAGTGCTCAGTAGCCATATGCGACTAATGGCTACTACAGACTTTGCTACTGAGCAGGTTTAAAAATACTTCCCCAATTCAATAATTCAAAACTTTTCATTTTTGCGCCCTTCCTCAGAGGGTGCACTTTATAAGCTGAGTAAACCAAATAATGCCACGCGACTTTTACAGTTACTAACAATTTTAATATTAATGAGAACCAATCCTTCCAGAATATTTTGTTTCCGAATGTGTTATACCATCGCTACTCTTAGGGGCATGTGTTCTTCAGATCAACAGCAGACAACCAGCCACACCATGGCTTGTTAGGAGGCAGAGAGCTCATTAGACCACAGCAACAACTTGGCTAAAGGAGACAGATCTCCGGCACAATCATTACTTGTATCTACAGGAAAATTATCCTTCTCTGTTCTGGGTGTCAATGTGTCAATCATCAGCAAGTGGGCCGACCGCCTCCTCCGGCTGAGGGCCCTCCGCCGTCGCTTCTCCAGGACACCCATGCTCTCTCCCAGGGCCCCCGCCCTCCTCGCACCCCTCCAGCTCGGCCGCCGCCGCCTCGAGCGCATCCAGAAGCAGGAACGTGTCCTCCGCGGGCTCGTACACGTCGCTGAAGGCGCCGCGGCCCACGTGTCCGTGCACGGGCGTAGGGATGCTCCGCGCCGCCATCGTCCTTCTTTTCGTCCCACGCGCATGCGCTGACAACGCGCATGCGCACACGCTGGGGCGCGAGCCCCGGGGCAGGGCCGGCCGCCTGCTGCGGTGCGTCTCCTCGGATCTTAATTCTAAATTTGTCGGATGTTCTTGGAATTTCTAAGTAGGTAGAGAGTTATATAATCTGTTGCTTTCTTCTTTTGAACACTTACATTTGTTTCTTTAACACTTAAGTTTATTTCATTCTATGGACCAGCACCTGCTGGGTGGGCATTGAGTTTTATTTTCCCCCCAAGGTGAATGTTTCTTCATCTTAATGAAATTCTCTTCTATTCCTAGTTTATAAGGATTTGAAAAAAATACAGAATAATGAGTACATTTCACTGTCTTTTTACATCAATTTAAGCGTTGAGTTTTAAGATTAAGTTTTTTTCTCATGTAATTTTTTTTACTGCAGTTTATCTCAAATTACAAACGTCGCCTTCCTGATGTTAAATCATGAATGAACTCTTTATAAACCTTATTCAAGAAAGGTTATTCCTCTTAAAATACCGCTAAATTTGGAATGCTAATAATCTACCTCTGTTTTTATGTCAGAATTATGCTCTCCTCGTTGGATAAAGTAGGACACTTTGTGGAACATTTGGTAGAACTCACTCATAAGACTGGCTGGGTTTCGGCTGGGAACTGTGGCTCACGCCTGTAATACCAGAACTTTGGGAGGCTGAAGCGGGAGGACTGCTTAGCCCAGGAGTTCAAAACCAACCTGGGCAACATGAGACCCCTGGCTGTACAAAAAAAATTAGCTGGGTGTGGTGTTGGTCACCTGTAGTCCTAGTACTCAGAAGGCTTGAGGCAAAGGATTGGCTGAGTCCAGGAGGTCGAGGCTGCATTAAGCTTTAACCTGCAGTGAGCTGTAATTGTGCCACTGTATTCTAGTATGGGGGACAGAGTGAGACCCTGACGCAAAAAAGAAAACAAAATTTGTCTAGGTATCTCTGATGTTTGGGGACATCTACTATATGTTATTAGACTATTTAAATATTTGTGCTCTTTTGGAGATAATTTCTGAAATTTGTTTCTCAATAAAATATTTTTACACCTAGTTTTTTTTTAATTCGAGAAATATAAAAAAAGTACTTGGATTACATTTTAAAATCCTGAGTACTCTACACAGAATTAACAATTATTAGTATTTTTCATGTTTCCTTAAAATACTTCTTAAATATAGGACCCAAAGTACTACAAATGAAGTGGATGTTCTTTCTGTACTTACCCTCAATTTTATTTTGTAACTGTCACTACAAGGTAACATCCATCATGGGTTTAGTGTGTATCCATCTAACCCATTCTGTTATGCTTTTAGATTGGTGTATTCATAAACAACATATGGCTTATGTGTTTTAAAATGTATATAACTAGTAATAGGTTGGACATACAATATTCTTTTTCTAATTTCTTTTTCACACATTATATGAAATTTATGTTTTGACATATAAAATTAGGTTACTCCTTTTCACTGTCATTTAACATTTTTTTTTTTTTTTTTTTGAGTTGGGGTCTCACTCTGTCGCCCGGACTGGAGTGCAGTGGCCACTCCCGGCCACCGCAGCCTAGGGAGCTGCTGGGCTCCGGCTATCCTTCCGCCTCAGCCTTCCAAGTAGCTGCAACTACAGGCACGCGCTACCACGCTCAGCTAGTTTTTTATTTATTGTAGAGATGAGGTCTTGCCAAGTTACCCAGGCGGGTCTCGAGCCCGCGGGCTCAGGCAATCCACTCACCTCAGCCTCCCGC